TTTTTGGTTACGTTTTCCAGTATTTTCACTTTTTTCTCACCTTTGCATTTTTGTGAGAATATTTCCTGTATGTTTGTTTAAATCTGAATTTAAATATGTTAAAAGGGTAGCACCCAGAAAAGAGACCTGCAGAAGTTCAAAAGAAGATTCCCTCCCCCAGAGTGACATACCATTTGAATGTGGTTATTCAACCAACTTCTAATCCACCCTGTGACTAACACCAGAGACTCTGCCTAGTGCCACACTGACATTAAAAGCACTTTAGACTCCCTTTGACACACTGCTGCCAGTACAATAATTTACCATCATATATCGAGGCTGATAATTCCTAGTACTATCTTATAGGATAAATCTGGAGGAGTTAAATATCATAGGAAAATTTCTTATGTGATACAAAATCAAAAGCCTACTTCAAAGGATACTTTAAAATAGCTTCAAGATTTGTCACCTGTATGGGATTGAACCTTTTAAACATTTTGAATCTCAGTATTTCAATACACCGTTATTAAATAACAGAACAGATATATAATTTTTAAAGGCATACTGCTACTACACAATCAACTTCTATTGTTACCATGGTAACATTTTTCTGGAAGCAATAAAAACAAAGAGATTCTTACCAAAAGTTGTGGGAACCTTGGTTGGTTGGGGAGTCAAGGAGTTATTATTCCAAACATCATGCTGGGTTTTATAATCATCCACCTGGAAATCATACACTGAAAAAAAATACAGCCAATTAAAATATAAGAACATTGTCACAATCTCATACTTGTATACATGAAGCAAAGCACAAGAGTTAAGAAAAGTAGACTTTTAACAATTTTATTCACATTACTATGTTAAATTACTAAATAGTGAATCTTTAAATATATAAAGTAATTTCTATGAATAACTTTATAGATCTTCGTCAAAAAAGTGTAACAGTTAATGTTTGAATCATTCCTTTAATAAATGCCATGGGCAGATAAAAGTGATTGATTTTAGGTAATACCTTCCAAATTACTATTTGTCCTGAAATTTTTGTTTATAAGCATAAGGGATTTCAGCAATTCTATAGTTGTGCTGAAATTATACTGCAGTATTCTAAGGAGGGAAAATTAAATAATGTAAAATGAAAAATAATATGAGAGCTATGGAAACAGTTTCCACTAGAGTTAAATTTATTCTTAATGCTTTTTTATTTTTTATTTCAGCATATTATGGGGGTACAAATGTTTAGGTTACATATATTGCCCTTGCCCCCCCCCCCCCCCAGTCAGAGCTTCAAGCATGTTCATCCCCCAGA